CTGGCCCGGGATGGTGCAACCCACCAGTTGGGAAACGGGCTGGCCCAGAGACTTCCGGCCCACCCTCGGAGTCGCCCGAGGCCGAGGGACTCCCTGGGGATGGGGACGAGCCGGGACTCCGGGGGCTTGTTGGTGCTCCCCCCCCCCCACGCCCTCTGTTCCTCGCGCCCTCTCCCGGAGGCACCTGCAGTCACCGCAGCCCGGCTCTGCGCCCCCTCGCTCCCCTCCCTCAGCCTCCCTTCCCCCGCAGGGTTATTTTGGGAACCCAGAGCCTGAGGGGACCTCGGAGGAATTTCTTTCTGGGATGGGAGGGGGTAGGAACCCAGGCGTCCGGTCCGCTGGGCCCCCTTCTGGGCTCCCGGGAAGGGGAGGTGGGGCTGCAGCGGCCCCCAGGGGCCTGCCCTTGGGGAGGAGAGCGGAGCGGAGAACATTCCTAGGGCGGGGGTGGGGGGAGCCCTGCGGCCGGAGGCGTCAGCGGGAAGCCTGAGCCTGGGAAACGCGCTCCCCAGCCACCTCCTCCGTGGAGGTCCCACGGGTCCCGGCTCAGCCTTTCCGCGCGCCACCCTCCTCCCCAGCCCGGGCTGCTGACCCGGCTCCTTACAGCACAGCTGCGCTGTGAGCGCACACATCTGATGCCCGGAAGGGGGCGCCATTGCCGTGGGGGCTGGAGAGTGCCTGTGTGGCACCCCCAGCAACTCCGTACGCACCCATCAGGGACACTCATCCATACCCGAGGCTAGGGACCCACATGGGGGTGCAAGACGCCCCAGCTCACACACACCGGGCCTCAGGCATTCGCCTGCCATCTTCCGTGTCACACACACAATGGCACCCACACCCAGCGCACACCTACGACCCTCTGGCACACATAGCCAGCCCTCTACGCAGAATGCAAACCCACTCATGGGCTGGCTCCTCAGCCACGGCAGCGCTGACATCCGCACACGTGTGCACACACGCCAGACAGTGCACCTACACGCATGTACACTCTTGCACATATGCACACACCCCCGTGGGCGCACACACGCCCATTCCACCACCACCTCTGCACCTGCGGTCCAGGCCAGCCCTGGGGTCAAACGCCCTAACACCCCTCACCACCACCAGCAGCCCCCGCGCCACGGGCAGAGCTTTGTGCCAGGAAAAGGCCCCGCGCCCCTAGCATATCCCCTCGGGCTGGGGGCGGGGGCTCCTCCACCGAGTTCCCGGGCTGACTTTTCCTAGGACCCGCCCAGAGCCGTCCCCTCGGACTCGGCCACTTCCTTGCTGTGTGACCTTGAGAGTCTCTTGGCCTCTCGGAGCCTCAATTTTCTCATATGTCAAATGGGAGTGTGCTGGGGGGAGGTCCCACTGAGACCTGGCCGGGAAGGGCCGCGCGCGCCGCG